GGGTTGGGAGTCTGCAGAATAACAGACACTGCAGATGATTATGATGCATGGCCAGGTAGGGAATCCCCTGCCCTACATGGTGTCTGGCATCTCTTCCAGCCACAAAACTGGAAGAATGGTCACGATTTGGGTAGGGGTCATAGCAGTGAGCAACAAGGAGGGAATGGGTTCAGTGAGCATTTCAAAAGATAAATGAAGTGAATATGAGCGAGGCAGGAAGAGTCAAAGTTGATTAGAAACATCTTTTTAGGACCTATGTTATGACTCTTATTATTTTGATTGCTAAGTTGTAAGTTTGTTTCAAATTGGTTTAAGCAAAAGGGAGTTTACTGGCTTAATAACTAAACTGCCCCAGGTTAGGGTCAGGTGCACCTAGATCCACGTAGTCACGGGAGATCTGCCCTGCCATCATCTGACTCTGCTTTTCCACTGTGATAGGTTGACTCCTGTTCAGGCTGTACCAGCATGGTTACCAGGATCGTTGCCATCAGCCCCTCCCTTAGCAACAGGTCCTTAAAATTTCTGGACAGCAAATGTTCACTCCAGTCCCCTTTTATAAAGTAAAAATAAGAACGTAAATATTAACCATCAGTCACAGCAGTGCTAGAATTCCCTATCACCCATTCCCTGCCCAATCCTAGTCATTCAAGGGGTTAAGGAGTCCTAGGTACCTAGACTGCACTCCCCTGGATCCTCACAGTCTTGAGTGACATTTGAGAGTGCCATCAGTAGGAGCTGGTGAAAGGCACACCACACCGGTGTCCTTACACTTTATTATGCATTGTGACTGCACAGCACTAACACTGATTACCTAAAGCCTGAGATTTTTCATGTAATGTGAGAAGTAATAGGGTGAGGCCAGCAGAGGTCTCGTTAAATCCCAACCACTGATACTTGAACTGGCACCAGGAGAGGTTTTATTTTTCTTTTTTAGTACCTGTCACCAGACACTGTGAAAGATTGTCGTCCCTAGCCCCTGCTTTTTGTACTGTGCAGACCCAAATCACTGAAGCCTGCAGAGAAGAGGTGACCTGCTGTCTTGCAGGGCAGTGCATGCTTTTTTTTAATTAAAAAAAAAAAAAGTCAAATAGTTTGGGGCCACAAAAAGTAAAGATAATAACAAGATGAAGTGCCCACCACTTGACTTAAGGAATAAGATTTTAATCGGAAATAACCACTATCCGGCCGGGCATGGTGGCTCATGCCTGTAATCCCAGCATTTTGGGAGGCCAAGGCGGGCGGATCACTTGAGGCAAGGAGTTCAAGACCAGCCTGGCTAACATGGCAAAACCCCGTCTCTACTGAAGATACAA